AGGTGCATCGAGGCAAAAGTGCATCGGCCAGGATTCACTTTTTCGTGTTCGGTGAAAAAATGAAAGTGTATCGAGGTCGCCCGGATGTACTTTTTCAGAATCCATGTCCCGAGGCGTATTCCGGCCAGAGCAAAGTGCATCGGGCAATTTTTTTAAAGATAAGAATAAAAATACAGCCGAGGAAAATTACGCGCGCATTTGAACGAATGGCCAACGACGACGACATCGTTCTCCTCGCCTGCGCCATGGCCGTAGCGGCGGCCGCAGCAGCCATTAAGAGCGACCTTCTCGATGACGACGAGCCCGAGGTGAGGCCGCAGCTCCGGTTCGTGCGCCCAGAGACGTCGTACCTGGACTACCTGGACATGCAACGCGACCTACTCCATGATCGCGGTGATCGTGTCATCTACGACACTTTCCGCATGAACGGTGCAAGCCTCGATGCTTTAGTCAAGATGGCGGCACCAAGGCAACCTCGAGCGCACGCGTTGAGTTCGCGGGCACTACCATGTTCCCGCCGACAATATAAGTATTTTTTTATTCGCTCGATTAAAAATTTGACGGCCGATACCAGCCAACGAGTCCTCGATCCAATCGTGTTCGGTCAGCAATCCGATGGTGGCTTCGTCGACGCCAACCGGATACACATCCGCCTGGATGTGTATCCGGCAGATGTACATTCTGGGTGCAGATCTGGTTGGCATCGACGAAGCCACCATCGGATTGCTGACGGAACACGATTGGATATAGGACTCGACGACTTGGATCGGCCGTCAAATTTTAATCGAGCGAAAAAAAAATACTTATATTGTCGGCGGGGATATGGTAGTGCCAACGAACTGGACGCCCGCGCTCGAGGTTGCCTTGGTCAAGGCCTTCCGCAACGTCGCCAAGAGCCCACAGTACTGTATGTCGTGGCGGGTGGTAAGAATCTGAGTCGCTTTGTATGTCCAGGTAGTCCAAGTACGACGTCTCTGGGCGCACGAACCGGAGCTGCGGCCTCACTTCGGGCTGGTCGTCATCGTGAAAGGTCCTTCTTGATGGCTGCTGCGGCCGCCGCTACGGCCATGGCGCACGCGAGGAGAACTACGTCGTCGTCGTTGGCCATCCGTTCAAACGCGCGCGTAATTTTCCTCGGCTGTATTTTTATTCTTATCTTTAATAAAATTGCCCGATCCACTTTGCTCTGTCCGGAATACGCCTCGGGACATGGATTCTGAAAAAGTACATCCGGGCGACCTCGATCCACTTCAATTTTTTTCACCGAACACGAAAAAGTGAATCCTGGCCGATCCACTTTTGCCTCGATCCACCTGGATCCACCAAAAAAATGAAAACCGAACACGGCCTAAAAGTGATCGTCTTTCATGTACCGGTATATAGTACCGGTACATGAAAGACCTTGACATGTACCGTACAGGTCAGGGTACGGGTACTGTACACTACCCGACAACTAAACGACAGCCGACAACCAAACGACAGGTGCTGTATCGCAATGGATACGATGTGTTTGGAATGGAAATGTGTGAACGGCTAGAATGCCTGGTTGTAGGAGCGATCGTCACTTGCAACTATTAGTCAAAGGTTACCCAAGGTGACATCATCGAGCGCCAGCGTACTCTGGGTCTCCTGACGAGCGGACACGCCCCGTTAAACAACGCAAGCACACAGACCGGCTCTGTGGCACACTATGGAACGCTATTACGTATGGCATTACACTACGTATAGTATGGCATGTGTTGTGTATCAGTACCGGTACCGTAGTACAGAACTTGAGAGTACCAGTACATGTACACCAAGGGATACACGGCACTGTGTGGCCCCTTCGGCCAGCTCGATCGACTCAGAAAGGTATACTTATACCTTCCAACAAGACCAACACACGCAGTTTTATAGCGGGCGGAACATGGCCCATGGCTGCAATTTCCTGTGCACTTTTTTTGCTTGCAACAGCTGTATGCGACACGAAGAATCGGTGTCAGAGTGATGGTCCACCTCCTCGCAACCTCGTTTCCCTCTCATTTGCTTTTCCCATGAGTGACGACGACGAAGGCGCGAACGCGTATCATTTGCGCACGTTTGCGCGTGACGTGGCGGTGCCGCAGTGCTGGCTGTACAAGCCTGGGGTGAAGCGCAACCCGACGTCGACGCTCGGTAGCATCGCCGTGCCGTCGTGGCCGCTACCGACCGAGACGCTCGCGGCGCTGGCGACCACATACGCAGGCCGCGTCCCGGCCAAGGACGTCGTCTTCCACGGCTTCTACGACATTACGAGGCATGAGGTCATGGCTCAGTCCTACCTTCTCGGCCAACTGGACCCGGAGCAAGGCGAGTACGACGAGCCACTCGAGTTTGGCAAGACACTGGCGCATTTTGCCATCGATACGACCGGTGACGCGTCGACGTTGACGCCAGCAACGATGCAAGCGCCACCCCACACCTTTGCGACGGTCGTGTACTTTTTTCCATCCAACTGCGTCGGCGGCGCCGTCACGATCTCACTCGGCCACCGGACGACGACGTACGAGGCGCTCGACGGGCGCTTTCTCTCGTTCTACAACACGTGTGACGTGACGGTGATCCCATCACGTCGGGACACCGGTCTTTTGCCGTGTACTACGCCACGTACGACTTGGACGAATACGACTCGGACGACAGCTTCGGTCCCAAGGCACGGTTCACGGCACCGCCGCTACCGTCGATCCAAGAGCTCCAGGTCGCCGCGCGCAACTACGCTCGCAATGACGCCATTGCTGTCACGATCGGGCTCGAGACGCGTAGCTTGACGCCGACGTTTGATTCGCTCGTTAGTCGTGACAAGGCAGTCGTCGACTTACTGCTTGTGGCCGACGTCTTTGACATTGCCCTTGCGCGGGGCGGCATATGCAACGACAAGAACGAAGACGCTTGGCCGCGGCCCGAGACGTGCCATCCGCTATGCAAAACGCCGACGTCCGTCCGCCGGCGTATTGCATTGCCAAGGACGCAGACGAGTACGACGGCTGTTTCCTTCTCGTGTGGCCCAAGGCGAGGCGGTTGCGCATCCTTGGCTACGGCCGCACGATTGCGCTCTTGCGTGCCAATGTGGACGGTGACGTAACCGAGCACCTCGGCTACGGATCGCTCCAAGGCCTCTTTGAAGCAGCCTTTCGCTTCTTCTACCCGCATTCGTGGATCGACTATGGTGGCGACCCGGAACAAGACACGTATGCGATGGCGTCGGTCGACCATGGCGACGTGGAGCTTATCGAGGCGTTTATGGACATTCACGATCATTGGGCTGACGACGAAAGCATGGCGAATTGGCTCCTCACGGTGCTCCGTCGCTTTGGTGCGGCCCGTTTCCAGCACAAGCTGCACATGGTGAAGGCAGCAAGTGCTTTTGCGGCTCATTTGGTGCACCTCGCGGCGACCGGCGACACGCTCGCGCATTCAGTCGCATTCGACTGCATCCCGCTATGGTGGCCTCGCATGCTACGCGACCTCACGTCGAGCGACTGCTCCACGAAGAAGGAAGAGCTGGTCAATTTGTTTGGCATTGAAACGTACCTGCTCGAGCACCCGATCGACGTGGCGACGTCGACGTACTTGCATGAGCACTTGCCGGACGTTGTTGTGCACAAGGTGGCCGCGTACCTCACACCGCCACTAGGGTCGCTTTTAGATACGGTCCGAGCCGACAAGTGCCTTGTTAACAACCTTCCGGCTGTCTTGTGGCCACAAAGAGACTCGCTCGGGCGTGTGCGCCTCGCCACGTGTGTGGACCTCGCCGTCGAGTATTTGCGCTCGGGCGCAGAGCGGGCTAGCTGCTACAACGGTCACGTCCTCTATCTGGCGCTGCTGACGGCCGGGACGCCAGCCTTTGCCACAGCCGACGCTGACGTGCAAATGCGGCGACGCTGCTTTGATTTCAAGAGCGAGTGTGTCTGCCTTGACAAAACAAAGCTGACGCCGCTGCAAGCGCTCGTCTTGGAAGAGTACTTGCGACGTCCCACGTACGGGTGTCTGTAGGAAGATGTCGTGTGGCTTACATCCCGGACGCGCAAGGACCCGTTCAATCTTGAAATATACGAAAAGGCTTTTGTATTTGGTTGTTGTTTGCATCTATGAACTAGACCTCGGCTTCGCCTCGGGCCCTTCGGGCAAAGTTGTTGCGACTCGTTTCGCTCGTCGGCAGCGCTTCGCGCTGGAAAAGTGTGGCTTGTGAAATAGAGGGAAATTAGAGTGTAAAATGTAGGCGGTGTAGAAGTTAGGCTTCACAAGGGAGAAGTGCTGGGCCCTCGGAAACCAGTCCAATAGTCAGTGTAAAAAATGAATGTGAAAAAAAACCACACCGAAGTGTGGAAATCAGTTTTCACACTGATTAAAACAGAAAGTGTCTTCAGTGTCACGGTCAAGCTAGGCTATCGTGATTTAACCAAGTCCAGATTCAGTGGACAGTTCCCTACGTGGGCGTGGTCCATTCAGCCATAAGGCCTGTTGTCGAGTCTACTACGGGGCCGCTGTCGCCGTCGTCGAGGCGTTGGCTGTCTCCTTGCCTCGTCGTCTGCACTCGCGTCGTCGGGTCGATCGCGAAGGCTGCACCGGTTGCGTCTCCGTGGTAGCGGCAGCTGCACCGTGCTGGGCGCGACCATCGTGGCCGCGGGGTGGCGCAGCTGTTGCAGACGTTGCTGAAGTCTGCGGCGGCGGCACGGGCTGCTAGGCGTCGGGTCGCGCGGGCTCGGCTTGGTTCGCAGTGGTCGGGGCGGCGCGGGCCGGTCGCGGGCATCGTCGGTCGGGTCACACAGTGGTTGCCTCAAATGGCGGCGCTGGCTTGGATGTGATCGATGGACAGCCGGCGCTCGAGGCCTTGAATGACCGGCTTGTGCAGTCCAAGCAGATGCGAAAGGGCCGTCTCGTTCTTCGTTTAGATGGATCCAAGGGCACCGTACACCAAGGCTGTGCAGTAAACTTCGTCGTACGTCTGGCGCAGATGCGGCCCGAGCTCGAAATACTTGTCTTCCTTCTTGCGCACAATGCGTTCGAACGGGCAATCGGTGGCCGTCCCGTCGACCGCGTGCTCGAGCGTGATCGCGAGGTCCAAGAGTACAGCAACGCGACGCGCGCCGACATCGAAGTATACTTGTAGGTCGGGTCGTAGCGCGCGCGGGCTGTAGCCGTCCACCAGCTCGTTAACCTTGACCGTCGCGGCAGGTAGGGCCTTGCGTATCGCGGCGGCAATCTTGTCGAGCGACGCATCGTGGCGGCGCGTGATGAGACCATGGTTGTGGGGGCAGTGTTGGAGCACGTGCGCGAGTGTTTCCGGGCGGCCACTGTCAATACAATGGCGACACACTGCCGAGGCACGCAGTTGGCGACGCTTGAGTACAGACCGCGTGTCCACCTGGTTGAGGCGCGCTGCGATGGCGAAACGGTACTGCTTGTCGTATAAGCCACCGCCCGACGTCAAGAACTTGGACCCCATGTCGCCAATGCCGCGTTGTACTGACACTCGGTGTCGACGCTGAGCGCCAAGTGGATCAACCCCGGAAGCCCCTCGGCGATCATGTCGCCGTGGTGCCCAAAGGAGGTGAAGAGGTTGGCCATCGCGCGCGAGGCCTCGCGATGGATGTCGATGCTCTTGTGGCGCATGAGACCGATGAGAAACCGCCCGCCGTGCCGTCTACACAAATGACGTCATGATTCGACCGTCGAAAGACAGCAGTCGTGACCCACCGTGGCGTTCATGTCCGTGTCGGGCGAGCCGACGAGCTGGATGAGCAGCGGCAAGAGCACCGAATTCGCAATCGACACCTTGTTGGACTCGGCCAGCGACAAGTTGTAGGGGCGACGGCCACCTCGCGGCGCACAAAGGGGTCGCTTGACGGCGCTGAGGGGCTGGAGGCCACCGTCGCGCACGATCGCGTGCGTCTCTTCGTCGACGTCGCTCCATGATCCCAATGATCGTGCGCAGAATGCCCATCTTGCCGAGTTGCGCCCAGTTGATTTCGTTGCCCGCGACGTTGTTGATGGCAAAGGCAAGGCACCACCTCGTTTCCGCGTCGCTCGACGTCTCGAGATGCAACAAGGCGGCAATCGCGCCCTGGTCGAAGAGGTCCTTGTCGTTGAGGTTACCGATCGCAAGCGTCCCAAAGCGCTGAGAAAGGGCGTCGGTCGACTTGACAAAGCCCAGAATGTGCTGCAGCGCAAACAACGCCAGGCAGCGCGCGACTTGCTGCTGGATTTCGATATCCGGTGACATTTTCAGCGCATAGAGCGGTGTGAGCACGCCTTCCTCAAGTATCTTGCGCTGCGTATGGCCCTTGACTACATTGCATCGTTGAGCAGCACGGACGGCGCGACGCACCGCCAAGCGTGCTGCGCGCTGGCCAATCTCGGCGAAAGCATCAAGAACCAAGTGCGCATCGTCAACAGCGGCACGATCGGTGGCTGCGACGCTCTGCAACCTCTCGATCTGCGAAGATAACAAGGTTACATTAGCCCGCGGCCGGTGTCTCCCGCCGCTCATAAGCCTCGCGCAGAGCGGCGATCCTTCACGCGAGCGCAACGCGATATGTGCGCTCGCCAATATCTTCGAGATAATCGGGAGGATGACGCGGCACGTGGCCGTCGATGACGCACCTACAAAGTCGAGGATGTCGCCAAGGCGGTTCTTCCACACGATCACAATCACCGTACATTTGGTCAAAATGAGCATGCGCAGCCGTCTTTGCGGCAGTCGCCCAGCGCGTCGCAATGCCGTTTCCTTCGTCTCGCTCTGGTGCACAACTTGTCCAAGCGCACCATGTATAGCGCAGCGAGAACGGCGTCACGGTGCGACTTGCCGCTGCGAGAGGTTCGCGCCGGGCATGTTATCCTTGCGGTCTCGGGGCTGGTCGCCGTGTGCAAGCGGCAGGCATCATGCATGAGGTGCTCGTGGTGGAAGTCACATAGCTCGATGTCGTGAAATGTCATGCGCGCCCCGAGCACGACGCGCCGCTCGCGTAGCTTCTTCTGCTGCGCAGCCGACTGGCTCGTCTTCGTGTCGATCTTTTTGGAATTGCACTTGCTTTTGGTATCCGGAGCTTGTCCGGATACGTCGCCACGACAAGCGAGGACAAAGATCGAAGCCATCGCCTGCACTTTTCTCACCAGCGCCCGAGTTTGCCGATGTCAGCGTGTGTCTCGGCCGATGGACTTTAGAAGTCACAGCGCTTTGTCACCCAACGTGGAAACAATCGCCTTCCTACTGCTACGGCGCCAATGGCCGCGAGCAGCTAGTACCCACCGACGTACACACCGAAGCAAGTATTACAACTCCACAAGCCTCTTTTGCGCCACCTGTATACACCTACGTACGAGTGCTGGTGCTCGATGGATGCGACGCTGCTCAAAACGTTACTGGTACCACCGGTGGTGCTTGGTGCGCCATCGGTCCTTGAGGACGGCGACTGAAGCATGCGCATGATGCGCCGACTTTCTGTCGGCCGCTCCAGAATTGCCGAATGGGCTTCACTCACGCGACTCGAAGCTACGCTGACCAGCCAAGTGGGTCGTAGCTTATAGATCCGTAGAGTAGCAAATGATGTGATAGCTTTCCGTGAACTTCATCACTTTGGCTTTTGCATCTCCGCGGTCACACGCAGTAGATCCCAGTAGATGCGAGCACCAATCAAGTATAGCTTTAATTAAGAGTTGCGCTGCCGGTGGTCGAGGCTAGCTACCGTGTGCAATTACAGTCCTGTGTGCAATTAGGCCTACAATACGAATCGTGCTTAAAGTTGGTGTTTAAACGAACCTCACTGACTACGAGTTTAACCTTATGTTTAACGTGGCTTGAAACCGATGGCGTTGCAATTTTGAACGGTCCGATCCATGTGGAAGGTCGTTCTCGCTGCCGCCGTCGCCGGCGTCGCGGCCAACCTCTGCAATACGTGCAATGGCAACGGCGTCTGCAACACTGCAACTCGCCGCTGGTACATGTGCGATTACTTGTTTCTCCTAACATGACGTAGCTCGTGCTTTGCCGGGTTCACGGGACCACGCTGTGAATACGTCGCGTGCCCGACCGGCAATGCGTGGTGGGACTTTGCGTCGGCAGTCGACACGGCCCATGCACCGGCAACGTGCTCCAACATGGGTCTCTGCTCGTCGACAACCGGTGTCTGCGATTGCAGCGCGGGCTTTACGGGCGCCGCTTGCGAATTCAGTACGCGGCCTGTTAATGGGAGACATAAGGCTAAGCATCCTCGGCGTAGTGGCGTGCCCAGCGTGCCAGAGTGGCCACTGCATCTCGATGCGCGACGCCGCGGCCGCCAATGACGGCATCAACTTCTTCACGTCGACGTCCTACAGTCTATGGGACGCCGACAAGATCTTTGGGTGCCAATGCAGTTACGGCTACACTGGCTACGATTGCTCGCAGCGGTACCGTTTGCTCGATTCCGGACAGACTGCATTGCTAATGATTTAGGACGTGTCCCGTGGGTGACGATCCGCTCACTACAGTAGCAGACAACGCCCATGCGTCCACTTTGTCCCTCAAAGGCGTGCATGGGTAGGGCCAGTCGCCCGAGGTGCAGCTGCTCAACTGCCTCTGCAACGGGTGCACCGGGTACTTTGCGCTGTACTACGAAGGCTTCTTGACGGCCAATATCGCACCGTCGGCGACGGCGACACAGCTGACCAACGCGCTACTGGTACAGCAACCTTCGTGGTATGGAACTCACCACAGTCGTTGCACTAGGCGCTGACATCGATTCACGGAATCGCTGTCACACTTTCCTCAGGCACCACCGTGTGCTCGACGACGGGGACGACGGCATCGATCACATTTACCAACAACGGCGGAGACCTGCCGCTGATCCAGATCCGCAGTGTCTTGTCTGGCACAAACACGATTACGCTCAGCTCCAAGGGCGCTGTCGGAACGTACGGCGGAACGTCAGCTGCGGGCACCACCGAGGTGCGACACAAGTGCAACGCTGTTTTTGATTATACTGCGAAGGGTCTCCCGTGCTCGGGGCGTGGGGACTGCAACCCTTCGACTGGCATCTGCACTTGTGTCCCGGGTTTACGAGCAGTAACGGTACGCCCGTCAAGAATGCGCAAGTATGCCACGAGGCTTTCATAACAGGCGCCGGCAACCCAGGCATATTGGGCGACTGTGGCGCTGGCACGACGACCGCTTGCCCCAGTATATAATCTGCACAGTTTTGGCCTGCTAATGATGGGCAATTTCTAGCGGTCCTCGGAAAAGTGTGCAACAACCAAGGCTCGTGTGACGGCACCACGCAATACCGCTGCGAGTGCAATCCGCCGTACACCGGGGCATATTGCACCAACCGTACCTATGGCTATGCTTGAGCACTCGCCAAAAAACACATGTTTCGTAGTGCTCTGTCCCACGGGCGCGGCGTGGTTCGACGGTGCATCGGCGACCAACACGGCCCACGCTGTCGCTCCGTGCTCGAATCGGGTTTTTCAACCTTGCAAAGAGGGCATCTTGACTCATCAACTCATGCATAGGGCATATGCAATCCCTCAACAGGCACGTGCACATGTCAAGCTGGCTTTACGGGCGCCGCCTGTGATCTGCGTACATTTCCATCGTCGTACGTTCGCGGTTGAGTGGCGTTCATTTAGTCGCGTGTCCCGGGTCGCCCGCGTGCAGTGGTCAAGGGTCGTGCAAGACAATGCAACAATTGGCGGCGCTTTCATCGTCCAACGGGGTGCTCATCGGCGCCACGTACGGCAACACCCCAACTACGCCCCGACGTGGGACTACAACAAAATCCGAGGTTGCTACTGCCAAAAGGTACTCGCTTGAAAGTTGTATCCTCCGTGACTCCAAGCGTCTAGAATTTCTACATGGGGCCGTACATCGGTGCCGTGAACGACTTTCAAGCCTACGACTGCTCGGCGCGTAAGCGATACGATCCCTCCATGGGGCTCATACGGCCTGATAGGCTCATGCGCATATGGCGACGATCCGTACATCTCGGGAACTGTCGACGAGCAACAACAAATATTGTGCACGGCTGACGGCGGCTTCTTCACGCTGTCTTTTCGGCAGCATACAACAAGCGCGATATCTGCAAGCGCAACGGCCGCCACCGTGCAGACAGCCCTGCAAGCTCTGGCATCCATCGTATCGGCTACCGTGACTTTTGGTGGTGGTGCGACGACGGTTTGCAGTGCCACTGGCGTTGGTATTTGCATCGACGGCTCTCATCAGTGTCTTCATGTATTTGCTAGTTACGACGGTTCGATTTACATATGCCCAAGGAAATTTGCCGCTGCTAATCGCGCCTGTCACCGACCTGACGCTGTCGACGGGGACACCGGCGATTACTGTGACCGAGACAGTTGCGGGCACGAAAGCGAACCTCGAATGCTCGGGTCGTGGCACCTGCGGTACGCTCGTGCTTGTGATCACGACTGCTGAGCTTGCGATAGATCGGACGCTCGGGCGCTGCAACTGCTACGACTACTTTTTGAGCTCGGATGGCTATGGCAACGTGGGCACGCGCGGTGATTGCGGGTACTTGACGCCGTACAGCACCCTCTCGACAACGATCACGACCATCACGACAACGACGACAACGACCTCAACCGTGTAGTACGTGGCATTATACGAACGACGTAAGCACGAGCCGTTGACAATCCAAACGATGTGTTCCCAGTGGCGGGAGTGGGATTTGTGCCTGCCAGATCGCGTCTAGAGTGGATGTAACTCCGGCTTGCAATGGTGCTCTCGGTCATCACCGCCGCTGTGCGCCTGTATGTGGGCATCTTCGCCTCTCCTGTCCAGACGATGACAGACACGTCATTATCGCACATGTGCTTGGTCAACACGGCGTGCTCAATCTCTGGTGCGCGATCCGAAGACAACCCGATTCAGATCTCCTGTGCCTCAGTGTCGGCGATTTGTTTGTGGGCTAATGCGCGACTCTGGCGAAAAGATTGGATGCGCCTGCTGTAGCTATCTACCGGTTTTTGCTGTAGCTATCTACCGGTTTTTGCTGTAGCTATCTACCGGTTTTTGCTGTCGCCATCGTCAGTCAGCCTAAAAATACGTCATGTAGCCGTACACCTCCGCTCTCGCCTGAACACGATGTGCATCGATATGAATATTCAGGGGCGTTTCAGATCGTTCGGCGATCCGACAGAGATCAGACAGGGACTTTTTAATTGAAGCGCGGGATCGAGGTGGTGCTACATCGATGTGACCACTCTCCAGATCCTCTCCAAAACTGCATCAACAACTCGACCAGCATGCTCAATGACGTACGCGAGTCGCGCCTCGTGATATCTTGGCCAGATGCTCGTTTGGCACGGTCAAAGGTCTTGTATATCGTATCGTCGACTGCAAGTGGATGTGTAGTTAGTTTCAAGTCGAGCGCTCTTGATGAGTTTACTTGCTTTGCTCGGTTACAACGAGAACGTGCCTGGTTAGTGCTGCCGAGGCTGGCAGCCGCCTTCTCAGAACATGTGGTCTCGTCACTCGCGCGGATATGCATTCATGCCCCATCGGAGACGCAAAGCTGCTTCAGCGGTGCCAAGAGGTTTCTCCACTTTCAAGCCACCGGTGATGGCATAACTCAATTCGCGGCACGATATGCGAGCGTGGGTACTTGCGGCCACAGCCATCTTGGCCGTTGCCAACCAATGCAACACTGCTCAGAAAGACACCGACTATTGGGGCAACGACTTGTCGACGTCAAGTCAATCGAGCCATGGTGCCTGCTGCAGTTCGTGCGTCAATAGCGCCAGGTGCACCCACTACGTCTGGAACAGATACACCAGTACGTGCATTCTCAAGCAAGGCGTGCCAAGGCCAGCCAGCTCTGTACCCGGTGCGTTTGCCTCCATTTTGTCGCAACCCGCTTCCGACAACGACAAGTGCGACCAAGTGCGAGAGAACACGGACTTTTGGGGCCACGACTTATTCCAGACGACGCAATATAACGCCGGGGACTGCTGTGCAGACTGCTCCAGCCAGGCGGGGTGCACCCACTACGTCTGGAACAGCAACACCAACACGTGCATCCTCAAGTATGGCACACCGAGTCCGAGCAACAGCGTCTCGGGGGCCTACGCCGCCATTGTGAAATCAGCTCCACCGCCGAACCTCGGTACATGCAATTCCGTCCAAAAAGACACCGACTTCTGGGGCAATGACTTCAAGCAAACGACTCAATACAGCTACGGCGCCTGCTGCAGCGAGTGCGCCAGACACGCCGAGTGCACCCACTACGTCTGGAACAGCTACACGACCACGTGCATCCTCAAGCAAGGCGTGCCCAACCCAATCAACACGGTCCTGGGAGCCTACGCCGCCACGATGCCAGCCAAGTCCTGCGGCACCCGAGTCCGTAAGGAGTGGTCATCGCTCTCCTCCAGCGAGCAAAGTCTGTACATCGATGCCATCACAAAGGCCAAGACCATTGGCCACCTCGACACTCTCGTCCGCGTACACCGAAACGAAATGGCGTTCTACGAGCCGCACGGGTCGACATGCGCGTTCTGGTTCTGGCACCGGCGCTTCCTCCTCGGATATGAGCAAATGCTGCGGTCTCTTGGCCCAGCCTTTGCTTGCATCACGGTACCATACATCGACTATGCGGGCGCCGCCGCCGCATGGAAGGACAAGACGTGCTCCTCCGTCGTCTCATGCTCGCCGGCGGTCCGAGCCATGTACTCGCTGCCGCCAGCGTTCAGCAATGTAGTGCGTGGGGACTGGACGCAGCATGGATTCGGCCCCGCGTTCACGCTCGACATGATCAAGCTGAATCTGTTGCCAAGCGACAAGAACACACCGATGATTGCGATCTCGAACAACATTGAGACTGGCGTGCACAACTCGCTGCACTCGGAACTCGGCGGCGATATGTCCGGCCACTCGTCCAACAACGACCCCCTCTTCTACTTGCACCACGCAACAGTCGATATGTTTCAAGTCATCTACCGCAAGTGTCGGCTCAATGGCGTCGCTCCGACGGACCCGCGCAACTTTGCGTCGTGCCAGGTGCAAGCGAGCGGTCCGGGACATGATGGTAACATCAATGGCGACACGGTGCCGTGGATTCAAGACGACACCGTCCCATCGGTCGTCGACGAAGACCCGGCGACAAAAGCGTGGTTCCAGGGCATTCCCAGCACGTACCTGGCGCTCACTGATGCGAGCCAACTTGGGCCATTCAGCTACAGCTACGACTTGCAAGGGTCGTTTGCTGACTTGTACAACCAGTGCGACGAGGTGGGGACAATGTCGATGCACAGTGGGGTTGTCGAGTCGAGCGATGTGACGTCGACGTCCATTGAGAAGGCTTGGCGACAGGCGCTCTACGACGATGCAATAAACGGGACGATTCCGACGAGCGAGATGAGCTACGAAATCGCCAAGGTCACGGTCATGCTGTACGACAAATGCATGGGTGGGGTCAAAGACTTCACCGACGATTTCAAGCAGACTTGGCACATCAACGAGCTCAAGCCAGCGTTTGAGCAGCTGCAGAGCATTCTCGATGGCAGCAACTCGATCAAAATCAGGAACTGGCGAAGCATCAACTGTAAGTATTACAACTGCTGGTGCCATGGCACGACTACAACGGATTCCGGGACAATGGATCCAGCGTGAGTGCTTCAAAATCTCCATAGTGTACGTAGAATATTGTGCTGAAATGAATGATTTTCTGTGCAAACGTACTCTGATCAACCATTTACTCTTTGAGAATTCACCACAAGCGACTCTCCGTGGTGTTGCAAGACCATTGCACCATGTCTTTCGTTGGGCGACGATGTGCAAGTGGTTATGCTCGGTCTTAACCACACACCTACTATGGCAATGCTGAAAGGCTTATCAAAGGGGGCCAACACAGCACGATACCGTAATTCACAAGCATGTACGATTTGACTCGCCCAGAAAAAGTGATGAATTAACGTGATGCGTTGGCCCCATGAAAGTGACTATTGTGAATGAAAATAGAAGCCACGGTATGCGCCTCATCCATTCTGGCTAATGGTTGCCTGGGTCTCGAGGAGTAGAGTAAAAAGTGTATCAACCACTGTAAAGCGCAGTTGTCGACGCATTGTTTTGCCATATTGTATATTCCTGTGGTATGCCTCTTTACAATTCCTACATGGAAAGACTTCCACGTCATCGGTAGATAAATATAGTTCCAAGCTGTCGTTATCCGCCTCTCTATTCATGAGCATGCTTGTGCTCGTTCAGTCGGCGCGGGCGGCTGCCGCTAGCGCCGTCGTCTTCCACTGGTGGTCCGTCGTCGTCTCCGCCCTCCTGTTTCTCAACGTCGTGATCATGTTTGTCTTTTTCTGTGCAGTTATCATGCTCACGACTCTGTAGGCCGCTCAAGGCGTACATCTCGGAGCCGTTTCCATGGACATTGACACTGCAAGAGAGCACGAGTGGCTGCACCAGCAACTTCACGGCGTGCGAGGCATCGCTTTTGTCTGTTTTCCGCGCTCGCAGCCGCAGCATGCCCAAAGGTACAAACTACGTCTTTGGTAGCACGTTCGATTTGGTGCGAGTGCCGCTGACGATCGGCACCCAATCCAACGATGGCGCATCGTTTTTGCTTCAGACCATGTATGGTCAGTTTTACTCGACGCGCGTGCGTCGCGAAATCCTCGAAGTCGGCGCCCATCGCCGCAACGCCTCGGACTTTCACGCGCTACAGATCTCGCGCATGGCGGGCGTTGTCGCTGCCTACACCGTCTTCTGGACCGACGTAAGCAGCGCGGAGAACGCATCTCAGATACATCTGTACGTTGGCTTGCATTTACCCTCGTACTCCGCAGCGTGGCACTGGTGCAAGTTTATCGGGCGCTGTTGCATGGCTGGTGTTCTCGCGCGGCTCATGTGGCGACGCTACTACCAACACTTTGTGCACTTGGCAAAGAGTTTGCGTCGGGTGGGCCTTCCCAACACAGCGCCCAAGCAGCGCTATTACGTGCTTGTAGGTGACCCAACGAGCCTTGTGCTCTTGGAGCCGAGTCTATGTTGCTTGTTCATTTGCGATTTTTTTGCCAGTTCCGACTTTGCTTCCCGCGCCCTCGTGCGCATTTGCCAGACGCACGACTGGGTAGCGTTCCTCACGGCGAGCTTGTACCTCTCGCGGACAGTCTGGTGTGGGTATGCGTCGATGGCTGTCGTCTCCAAGGTGCTTCAAAAATATCCGTCGATCGCCTTCAAGCCCGTGGACCCGGGTATCTTAGCTGTCGCGGTCTTTATTGCTGCGGGCCTGTCACGTATCTCCAGTCCCGAAGCTGGCTCATTATCATCATTTACGCTACGATGGGCTCGTGCCTGCTCTCGGAACGCGGTCAAGAGGAGGGTACCGAGGGGCTGCTTGGCGCCGTCTTTTTCGTCGCTGTCTTTGCATCGTTCCCGCTTCTCTATGGATTTGGTATGCCTCTCTTGTGCCGCTACTGGCGCCGCGTGCAAGTGGCTCCGGGACCCCGCGTTGCGGTCACGACCATGAGCTCGCACCTCGGTGGTGCCTACGACACGAACGACGCCAAGCACCGGTGGCTCCTTCGCGTAAATCTTCTCGTGTTTCGCGCCTTGATCAAGACGTCGGGGATTCAATCGACGGGTGGTAGTCTAAACGCGCTCTTCGCCACCGACGCTTGCTACAAGCGGTACCGGGGTATTAGTCAAACGGGGGCCGACGCCTACATCCTCTATGCAGCGACGTCGGCGGATGCTAGCAACGGGCGCTGGACGAGCGTTCGACTTGGCCTCCTAAGCTGCGCGCACACGCTGCCAATGATGTGCGACGCCACCAAGATGCCACCCGCGTGCGCCGTTGGCTGGCTCGAGCTCCACCCGTCGCTACAACTGAATCGCGGCGTCGATTCGTCGCCATGGACGATGTAATAGTCCGAGTGTTATGTTCTATTGAATCCGAGAGAAAGGATTACGAGCAAAAACAATATATGCAGAGCAATGATGCTGATGGTACAACAACTGCAACGTTCCAGTCATCCAACGCCGCGCCGAGCAACTTTAAGGTGTGTCGTCAGCATCGATTATGCACACTCGTACATCTCGTGCATGCAAGATGTTAACATGGGCTCTCGCATTGCTCAGCCTCAGCAACACGCAGTTGACGCGACCGGCCTTCGTGGCCGATGGCGCATTCATCAAACGTAAACTCCAAAATTGCGCCTGGTCCTAAATTAGAAAAAAGACGCGCTTTCGCGGACATGGACAACGCCCCGCCCGTGTCGATTCCCCGCCGTCGATGTGTGAAATTTAACAAACGGTCGCTTGCGTTGAGTCTGGTCTTCGCGTTCAATACGGCGATCATGTACGTGCTCTAGGTTTGCCAAACGACTGAGCTCTCTGTAGGCCGCTGAAAGCGTACGTATCGGAGCCCATGCCGTGGGCACCAAATGCCCGCGCGGATTGGCTGCGTGCCTGCAGCGTCAACCAAACGGTCTGAGCCCAGGAAATACTAGCCCTTGGACGCGCGCAAAGCCTGCTCTTGGCGCCTACCCAGTCGTACTACTTTTGGATCAGCCTTTGACGTTGCTCGCGTCACCGTGAGCCTCGACCCTACCAACCCTACACCGATGCTTCTGCGCATGCCCTACGCGCAATACTATTCAAAGGTCTTGCGCCGGGACGCCCTGGCGCTTGGCGCTGGAACGCTCGCTCCCGATGCGTTTGCCAACGTACTCATCTCACGCTACCTCGGCATTCCGATGGCCTACACAGCATTTTGGGCGGTGAACGCAACGCTCCCAAACCGCACTGACGTGTACGTGTCCATGCAGCTGCCGCGGTTCCCATCGAGTCTCGGCGTCATCAAGCTGACGTATCGCATCGTGCTCTCAGCCTACATTGTGTGGCTCATGGTGCGTCGGTACTACAAGCCGTACTTGCACTTGCGGCGCAACCTAATCCGCTACGGCCTTGACGGCGATGAAAGCAACATGTACGAGATCGTGGTGGGTGATGCCACCGGTGTCGTGCTGCAGAGTCCCGTCGTGTCGACGGCGTTTCTTATCGACACGCTGTGCTCCGTCGACTCCTTTGCCGCTGCATGATGCGCGTGTGCCAGCTCAATGACCTCGTTGCTTTTGGTCTTGCGACTCTGTACCTCTCGCGAACGCTCTGGTTTGCGTACGCAGGGCTTGGCTTCTTCTCTGATGTGCTCAAGCATCTGCGTCGAGTGCGATTCATGCTACTAGACATGACATCGGTCGCTGTCGCTATATCGGTACTAGCGGGACCGCTGACGTATCTGCAGTCGCAAACGCTCGCCTTCGTCAACTGGTATTACTGGACTGCGACCGAGATTGTGCAGCCCCCTGACGACCGAAGCATTAAAACTGTGTTTGCCTGTTTGATTTACATTGTCATGATTGCGGCGTGCCCGATTCTTGTGGGGCTTCTTGTGCCGTTGCTTTGGCAGACGACAACCGTGTGCGATCTGAAGCATCACTGTCTTCTTGCGTTCGCGACGGCGTCACTGCACCGACATGGGTGTCGCCGTCGTGTCGCTCCAGCTGGCGCCGACATCGTAGCAGGGGGCACCTTCCACTTGCTGGCGCGGCAGCATCCGACCTACCGGCGACACTTCTGTTTGAGTCAACGCAGCGCTGACTTTCACGTTGTCTGTACACCTCATCATCGTCCCAAGCACCGCGTGTGCATGACACTGCTACTGTTCACGGACCTACCAGTGGTGCCCGCGATGCAACCAAGTGCTGTTGGCATGATTGGCGTCGACGTTCACGGGGTCCATATCATCTATCAAGGCCGTGAGCAGTCGCCGTGGGTCCAGTAGCACCGTAGTTCGTGAGGTCTACTTTGTCTATCAAAAGATATTGACTGGCGAGCCGTGCACGTGTGTCTTGGACTATGAGACGTCGTTCTAACCACCATGTTTCCAGATGATAACATCATCGCGCTCGCATCAAAGTATTACTAGTACGGCGCTAAATTCATGTCTACCAGAGTTGCTGGCAAATATTCAATCACAACTGGTCTCTTCTGTGCGACCAATGCAGCTATAATGCACGTACGACCTTCATGAGCTAATATGGGCGGGCCGTTATAAACTACATCGCGGCCGATGCCGTGCCTCACATGCTCGCATCGATTGACTCTAGTACATGACAGTGATACTGTCAGCAAGCAGATTTTGGCCACCAGCCAAGTTGGGGTACGCTTTTCGCGACGCCTTGGGTCGGCGTTCATGTTATTTTGTCGTCAACGCTTTGTTTACCAATATCATTTCAACATGTGGTCATTCATGTTCTACGTAGCTTCGCCGTTAAAAGTTAACAAAAGCCAGGCGCTGAAGGGCTGAAGTATCTACAATCGGACAATTCGCAAGCGGGGGTGCTGTGACGTCAGCTCTGTCAAAAGTCCACCGCGGGCCTGTACTGTTTGCAGCCAGCACATGCCCATGTTCAAGGCCTTGAACAAAACTTTGAACGGAGGCTTCAGCAGCGATGAATCGATGGTCCGCCACACCTCGTGCCGATAAAACGCGAGCAAGACGGAGGCGAGCGTCGAAGGCAGCGTCAACCAGTCGATGTCCAGAGACATTTCGGTGAACAAACTGCTCGGCTCACTGAGAAACCGCGCCGCGAACGGCCAACTCGACGCACCGACGACCGATGGCGGTACCTTGTACGTTCGCTGGGTGGACGTGCGGCAGCATGCCAGCGCTGCCTCCATGACGAGAGCCTCAGAAGTCAAGTACATGTCGAAGCCAACGGTTTCCGGCGGCACGGGCGATGCAGACCGCACATCGTCGATGGCAGCGTCAATGTCTTTGATCTGGGCGTATAAATCAGCATCCTTGCGGTCGTCGCCTTCCTTCGAGTCTCGGGCAATATAGCGGGGAACAACGGCCACGACCATGCCGGTCCAGTTACCAACACGCGCCAGCAACGATGCAAATGTCATGCCAACATCGGCAGGCGCGCAGAGCACCACAGTCGAATGGGTGTCGTCATCGGTGGAAACGAACTCGGTGACGGCACCATGACTTGTACAGTTGAGAGTCTCGAGCCGCGCCACGATGGCGGTGCGGGTCGTGTCATCGAGACTATCGCTAATGCAGACGAGCGTTCGAGCCGGAGGGTCGTGTCGACGGCAACACACGCGCGCCGACGATGAATCGACGACGACGGTTTGAATGAGATCGAGGCACGCTTCACAGTAGACGAGGTCCGTGGGCTCTTCGCAGCTGGGCTCTTGGACGTCTTCCTCGTCGATTGGCTCGCTACACACCGGACCATCATCGATGGCAATGGCTGGTGCATCGTTCGGCGACTGTGGCACGCCCATATCAAGCACTGACTGGTCCAAAGGGACGGGAGACGCTGCAATGCAATTGGGACAGACCGAAGATGCGCAGTCCGGTGTAAAGAGTTGCACTGCCAAGGCACACGTCAGCCATTGCGCCACCGGTACGAGCAGTTCGGAAGTCGCGCCGTTGTCAAGTCGCAGAACGCGAAAGTGGAACCAGCTCTGAAACTCAGACTTGCTCTGGAGAAGAGACAACTGAACGAGGCAGAGGATGCCACTTATAGTGGCCCCGAAGCGACCAACGGCAAGGCGTTGGACATACTTGAAGAGATACGCCCACCACCGACGCCGGTTTACGACGATCTTGCCGTGGTCAAACGTCGCCACCGAGTCGAAAAAGATGCCAAAGTCGGACAGGGGAGGTGCCATGGTCTGGAGCGGATTGAAGTCTTCGGCCAATAAGGTGTAACTCTCTCCAGTGGCGTCACGCACGACACAGTACGTCGCGTTGGAGGTGGTGTAGACGTGAAGCGTCTCGCCCACCACTGATCCAGTGTACACTCGTCGTCGGTGGTCGTGACGAGGCATCGGTGGACGGTGCTGCCACTTGAGATCACCCACAGAGTCGTACTCTATCGTGTGGAGCAGCGACGGTCCTAGCTCGGACGCTGTCTCGTCAACAACCTCGTGCGATCTGCCCATGTGCACGAAGACGCAGTGCAGCGTCGTTGGCGAGTCCGTTCGGTGAAATAGCTGTACAAGGACATAACGCCGTTCCCACCGAACGCCTTGTTTGTGGATGCAAACTGCCGTCGCATCCGTGTCCCGGCAGCGTAGCGGTCGTGGACACGAAGGGCCCGACCAGACGAGCCGAAAGCGCCGCTGTCGCCGGTCATAAACGATGCAAAACCACATGGAAAATGCAAGAAGCCCACGGTCTGTTGCACCGTAGCCGAGCACGTCATACTGCGTCAGCGTCAAGCGGCACGACAAGAAGAGGTCCGGAGCATCGGAAGCGACGGCGTGGAAGACAAACCCACGGGGCAGGTACTGCTGCGGAGGCTTCAAAAAGACGCGCAGCACGCAAACGCGGTCTTGGATGGCAACGTCGTGCAATGTGTAAAGAGGCAACGCGCCGGGCGGCAAGTGACGGACGACTCGCGGTCGCACTGCCGACACAGCACTGGTAGTAAGAGTCTCGGGGACAAGTGCGTCGAGTGCGTTGGGCACACGGGCAGTGACCAGGGCAGTGGCCAGGGCAGTGGCAGTAATAGTAGATGTCGGTGGTGTCACGCACCCAAGCGTCGCGGCAGGCTTGAGTGTGGGTGGCAGGTCTGTGTCGGGATCAGGTGTCGGTCTTGCTTCCATCGACGACTTGCGTGATCCCTTGATAACAGCGTGCCGTTTTCGTGTGGCCTTCCTACCGTAGACTGGCAATGCGACGCACTCGTCCGATCGCACATTACCGGAGTTGTATAGGGTCCACTAACACCTTCTTCCTCGCCTGGCGGTCGTGCTGGATACGTTTCTACGCAAGCGACGGGCTCGAGCCACTCTAGAAGTATTTAAAAACCTTTTCCGTCGCGATGGACGACAAGATCGTGTCGCATTTATGCATGGACTTCTCAAGGTCAGACCGCGCGATCATAGCGTCTGCCAACGTCGCCCGCAAGCGCGTCATTTCGTGGCCACAATGAAGGAGCGCCGACTGTCGCAACTGCGCCGCCCGTTGCCTAACGCAGTGTTCTTGCACAACGCTTTGGGTTTTCTCGCAAGACCAGTGAGCATTTGCTGTAGTTGTTTCGTTCGTCTGACATCGCTCGATCCACGCCACCTAGCAAGGCGTTAGCGGTATGTCTTCGTAGTACGTCGTTTGTGAACCTCTGCCTCGAAACCTCCAAGGCGTTGCTGCAGCCGGGCAATGACCAAGTCATATTTGTGCATCTGTTTGGCCAGTTGCCTACGCCACAAACCTCGTAGTACATGAGTGCCGATGGAAGCACCGACTGGAGGTCATCCTGGACGTCGGCTTCTTGGTCGTAAATGGAGCTGTTGTTGCTAGGTCGGCGTTTCTTGATGGATACCGGTGCCGGTATCGTGTAGAACGCTGGAGGATGCCACCGGCCGTAGAGACCTTCCTCTGTGCGCAGCACGGTGATGGCAGGATCCAGACGGCAGTCACCGGTCGTGTCGACGGTCTCGAGCGGCGCCCCGAGAAGGAATGGATCGCGCTGCGATTTGTGCAACTGTGTTGCGACGTCGTCGAAATCGGAGACGAGAAGCAAGAGGTAGTTGCGCCCGCCGGTATCCGCATGTACGAGAAAAGGTGATCCACTGCGGGAGCGCCACGTCATGATGCGCTCTATGACATCGATCGTGGAGGCGCGATAGAGCAGACACAGGTCGCCGCCTCCAATTGGCGCCGGGTGCCCGGCATGGCGTCGACGTAGCTCGGTCATCCACTTTTCCCGAACACGAACGCTCTGGAGAACCTCCAAGGCTGCGCTCTCGACCATGCGTTGGCACCTGGCTGTTTCGTTCCAGTTGCGATCCGGAACCGTCACTTTCAATTCGAATTCGTTCCTTATGCAAGCAAGACTGCGGACTGACGGCATCAGCAGGAATCCTGCGTTGTGGCTGGTTTTTTATGCAACACCTTAGACGTACACGCAGCGCGCGTGACCACGTACATACTTGTCAGGCGGTTTATTACGACTTTGGTTTCTTGTTCCATGTGGTCCATCGTCAAGCTACTTGATCAACCAGCAGCATTCGCGGTCGTGAGCTAGACCCGTTACCACGTACTGCTACATGCTAGACAGGGTCAATAAAGAGTTCATTGAATGGCACGCTTTGCTTGTCATCAAAGCCCGACAGCGAATCGCCACCACGTCGGTGACAAAAACAAGATCGACTGGCCTCTCCGGCATTTCTCCGGCATTCTCCATCGTTGATTGGTGCGTCGAAAACGTATGAAGCCCACGATTGGCCAGCTTTCTTTTTATCCGGATATCGCATCCGGCGCATGGTGTTTGGTCAACAACCCAGTCATTCCTCAAGATGAGCGTCGACGTCCCTGCCACTCCTGCTGCCCCTGCCACGCCCGTCGCTGAGCCTGTCGTCGCTGCGCTGGCCGTCGACGTGCCGACGCCTGTCTCGCCTATCGATTCGGCCAAGGCGCAGATCTTCGCTGCCAAAGACCAAGCCATTGGCCAAGTCTCGGCTTGGAAGGTCGACGTCACGACGGCTGTCGCTGGCCAGGTCGACGTCGCCAAGGAGCTCACGGGTGCTACGCGCTTGCAGATTAAGCGTGTGGGTACTATGGTCTGGACGACGGTCAAGCAGCCCGTTGCGGAGGCCATCCAGGTCTTGATTGATGCCAACTCGTCCAAAGGAACGCCGCTTCGCTCGATCATCTCGGATGCCCGCGCGTCCGTGAACACGACCTTGTACAACGTCCAGGTGTCGACGAAGGAGTCGCAGGAGGCCGTGGTCCAGTCGCTCGTACCCGTCCAAGAGTCGCTCGTCGTCGCCCAGGAGCGTACGTACCCAGCATTCTTGTCTTGGTATCTCATGTCCTGCCGAAATAGACGCGATCAAGTTCAACGTCTTTCGCAAGGCCTACCCGGCGGTCGTTGTCGGTGGTGCTGCTGCCATCATCGGTCTTCCGACGCTGCTTCGCCGTACGTTATTGTCCTTATTTGTTCTATCTCACGACGACGGCCCTTAGGTGGCAAGGTCTACGGCGGTGTCTACGCCGTGGCGGCTGCTGGCCTCACGGGTGGTGCCATGTATGCGGCTGACGAAGTCGAAAAGTGCCTTCGCCGCTAGAGATGTCTTATTATACAACTGCACTACTGAGCTTTCTTTGTCTCTACAGACTGCTGGATGCCATGGTGGCCCACGAGTCGACCGAGGCAGGATGGCCGTGCTTGGCTGCAATCACCTTGGCCGCAGTGTGCAGGCGCCCAGAAAGCTTGGTGATCGCGCCATGGGCAGCTTCAAGGTCCCCGAGTAGTGCTGGGGATGGCAAGTCATCGTTGGTCACCCTGGTGTGGATCTTGTCGACGTAGACACCGCAGCGGTCAAGGTGTGAGAGCAGTTTGGAGGAATAGACACTTGCTCGGTCGCTCTCATCGTCTTTGCAAGCTGCTGGTTGCGCGGGCACATCGGTTGGCAGGTCGTGGAGCACCTGCGAGTCTTCGCCAGGTCGAGCGAGCTGGAGGCGGCCATCAGTGGCGGCAAGGTGGAAGGTGACTCGTTCCGCCACCTTGGCTTTCGGGCTCTCGAAGCGGAGCTGCACAGGCGTTACGACCTCGCGTAGCATATCAAGCTGCATGCGGCGGTGGGGCGTCAGTGATCGAGGCGGTGTACTGCACGCTTTGCGCTTCCGCAACGGGCTCTTGTTGGCAAGTGTATTGACGCGGGCGGCGCGGTTGTCGAACTCGTCGAGGGCCCGCGCAACGGTAGCGACGGGATCTTTCATCGGAAACGTCCGCACCTGCGCCTCCGGCATCGAGGCGAGGTCGCCAACGGTCTTGATGTTGTAGAACGCGATGAGCTGCCGGAACGACTGCGGAAAGTGCTGGAAGATGGACGCAATCGGCTCCTTGGAGCTTGCAAGCGGCGATGTCGACGCTGGACGGATGGCATGCGTAGCGGACGCCTCGGTCGGGGGGGCGCCGGGAAGCACGTTTTTACCGACTTCGTCTTCGAAGTCCAGTTTCCGGTAAACGGGAGTCGGCACCGGTGGAAGCATGCACGGCGACGGCGATGCCTCTGGGGCCGACGACGAGTCGACGGATATGACGTCATGGGACGCGACTGTCCACATCCCATGGATATTGGCCACGGAAACGGCACGCGAAATGCGGGGAAAAACTGTCGTTGCCGGTGCGAGCCAAGGTGCAACCGACGTCAACACGGATGCCGTCTCCAACGCCAAGTCGAGTGCGTCGGGCAAGTCTCGCAGCTGGAGAAAGCACTCGGCGAGCCATAGCACTGCAACGCGGTCGCCTCCCGCTGGGTGTAGCGAGAGTAGCCAGTCGAGATCTGTCGCGCACTGATCGCGTAGCCGCTTGTCGATGGCCGCAAGTGTCGTTTGGACGCTCACGGGCATCGTGCGAAGCATCGATGTCATGGCGTCGTTGGCCGACGCAAACACGATAGATGTCAGGCGCAGCCGCTGCATCCAAGGGACGCTCGGGCTGTTGGGTGCGCCGAGCACGAAAGCGACGACGCCCCAGGCAATCTTGCAGTAGACCTTGTGCTGTTTTGCGTCCGAGGCCGCTGCGACGGTGGCGAGAGCATCGAGCAGTCGTCGCGTAAAGCCGGCCCAGATGCGCTCGCCCGTCTCGCGAGAGTCGGTGTCGAGACCCATAAACTGGGCGACACAGGTCAAAACGTCAGAGAACAAGATGAGCGGCGCGATTGTGCCCGACGTCGGCAGCAGCGCGCGTAGCTGGCGATCGCCAACGCAAAGCAAAGCGGGTGTCGAGGCGACGCTGCAGCTGGCCGAGCTGCCCGGAGCCGTCGCGGACGATACCAAGAGGTCGCTTTTGCGCGTCTCGTCATCGTCGTCGTCATGGACCAGACGCCAGAGTGCCGTGACAAAGGCCGTGGCTTGGCGCACCTGCCGCAGCCGGTGCCGCTGGTGCAGACCCACAACGACTTTGGTGACGGATTCGTCGTACCAGCGTATCCAGAGCGTGCGCACTGCGTCGTATGCGCCGTGGCTGCAAAACGCGCCAAGGTCTGCGACCGCGTGCGAAACAATGTACATCCACGTGTCCATCGCGGCGTCGAGAACGGTCTCGTACGTTTCCGACTCGAAGCACGCGTGCAGCGGCTGCAGCATGAGTAGCACGACTGGTCGTCGAAAACTCCACTTGGGAGGAAAGAGGTGGACGACGGCGCGCCAGTGCTGGTAACTGAGCAAGCGCACCGTCGCATCATGGTCGCGAAGCGTTGCGTCTGGTACCGTGAGGATGCTGTCGAGAAGCGCCGAGTCGGAAAGCAACGTTTCCCGAAGCAGGACGACGAGGATGCCCCAAACGTGGACGGCTTCAAGCATGCGCCGGTGCGTAACGTGGGCGTGGACCATCGGCTCGCCGTGGAGGCGCACGGCTGCCGCTACAGCGTCACGGACGATCTCAGGAAGCGGTGCGCGATGACAGAGCGTTTGAAGAAACTTTCTTGCGGCGTCGCGCGTCGCCAGCTCGCTGCTCGCGAGACACTTGGCGACGACGTGGCACCACTTGTGGGCGCATGCAAGCATCGGAGTAGAGTGCTTCAGAAGCGTCTCATGCAGACCTTGGAGTGCGTAGAGCTGGACTAGCCAGCAACTATGTGAGCGACGTGCATAAGGATACTGCAGTGGACCTTTCCGCGACTGAAACGTGTTGATCGTTGCCTGGCACAGAGCTTCGACAAGGCGGGGCACGATCGCATGCGTGGCTTCGTCCAGACGCTGCTTGGTCAGTGTCCACAGGATCAGCAGGTATGTCGTCTACTTGGTAGGTCACGACCCAGCATACTACAATCGAGTCGATACCTGGTCGGTGGTGTTGGCGAGGAGGCGGAAGAGGTGCTGGAGCAACCGCGTTGCAGTCGTCGATGGCATGTGCGCAACGGCGTGTTCGTGGTAGAGAAAGTACGCGAGCGTACGCAGCACGAGAGGCGTGATGTTGTCGTCGGCCTCGGCTGCGAGGTCGTGCTCGAACGTCGCAAGGAGCGACGGCAGCGCCGCCGTCACCGCGTCCAGCCGCGCCGGCGTGTCGGGCGCCTCAAGAAGTTCGTTCAGTTGGAGGTACGCAGACACATGCGCGTCGTCACTGCTACGACCTTGCCGTCGCGTCGCTAACCGGGTCGTAACCTCGCTCCACGCAGTCGTGGCCATGCGCTCGGTGTTCTGCAGCGATATGATTGGTTGGTTCGTTTTAGTCAAAGTCGATACATCAACTAACTGGTACGAGTCGCGTGGCTCGACTAACTAGACTATTTTTGGAGCGATGCAGCGCAAGAAATCGTCGGCGAGCAACAACGCGACGGTCGAGGAGGACGCGCCCACCAGTGCGCCGCCTGTCCTGCGCATCAAAGTCATCTCGATGGGCGATGGCGGGGTCGGCAAAAGCTGCGTCATCAAGCGCTACTGCGAAGGTACACGGTGGTATCGATGCGATAGCGGTCGGACGTCTCGCCGTAGAAAAGTTCGTCGCCAAGTACATTTCGACGATCGGCATCGACTATGGCGTCAAGCCCGTGCGCATTGGCGGGGCTGAGGTCCGCGTCAACTTTTGGGACCTCTCAGGCCAGCCCGAGTTTCTCGAAGTGCGCAACGAGTTTTACAAGGACACGCAGGTAGCACAGCCTTCTTATACGCATGTCTTATCAACGCCAGGGCGGGATCCTCCTCTTTGATGTGTCGTCGCGGCGGTCTTTTGAGGGTCTCGACGCGTGGCTCAAGGAGGCGGCCAAGTTTGGCGGCGGCAAGTTCCCGTGCGTGGTCTGTGGCAACAAGATCGACAAGATTCGCGTCGTCTCGGAAGACGAGGGAATGGCGTGGGCACGGGCCCGCGGGTACGAATACTACGAGACGTCGGCGCAAACAGGCGCTAACATTGCCGACGCCTTTCACTCGCTCTTCATGCAGGTCGTCACCAAGACCCGGTGATTTGCCAAGGAGGTTCTATCGTGCTAGCCACCGGCGGTATATAAGCACTAGTTGATGCGTCATTTTCATAGACTTTCTTGTATACGAGTTTGTAGTACCAGTTTTGCAGAGTGTATACTGTGTACTAGGCTGCAACCTTATGCGCGAGGGGCAGGGAGTTGTGTCCGAGCAGAGGTGTCATTCGTCAATTGAGCCAGAAGCGGTTGCAGACTCTGGGTGCTACGAGCCGCACTCATGCGGATTTCTGCGCGGCGTTGACGCCAATGGCGCGTCGTACCCCACAAGGAGCACAATGTACGTGTTGTCCACGCGTTTGGTCCTATAAACGGCAAATATTAAAAACGCGGTAGATACAGGACGGCACGACGGCACCGGCACCGTCATTAGATTTGAGCGTGGTCAAGTACCGGTAAGTCCCTGGTCTGCTTAATGATTTCATTACCAATCGATCAAAGCGTCGAGCGTAGTCCTAGTATCAACTCACCCGTAAATTAGCCTTAATAATCTCAGGTGGAATAGGAAATAGACACCAAAGCGACGGCGTTGTAGTAGCTGTCGTGGTATGGCGTGACCCGGAGCCCTCCATTCAGGTAGAGTCGAGGCGCGTCTCGATGGTTCTTGTGGTGGGCTTTCAAGTTTGCACGATGGAGCGAACTGGGTTGCAGCAGCATGGCTTTGGTTGCAGGGACACCAGCGGAATCAACAGTACAGTAGCAATATACTAGATGCTATTATGACCTAAAGATGAGTACTAGTAGCTGTACTAGTACACAACATTGATACAAATACAAATGGTACAAATGATAGTTCATTATTTGAAGTCAACACGCAGGTCTGTCTACACGGCTATGTGGAGTACAGTATGTATGTAATACGGGTACAATATACATACCGGTACCGGTAGGGCCCTAGCCCCTAGACTCTTGAACTTCAGCACACTTGCACGTATTAGGTCGGTTCTTATCGAAACAACTTGCACGACAGTACATTGTATTGTCGTGCAAGTACCGAGTAAGTGCCCGAGAAGCACTGGACGATCGCACATGCTGGTATCAGGAATGATAGGGAAATGCGTAGACGTGAGGACTTCAATGTCCACTAACCGTATGATTACACTGAGCTGTAATTATAGTGCAAGATGCTGTGGCGGCAGCCACCGTGATTCATGAGCAGGATCCTGTCTTACCGCGTTGCCCCAGCCAACGCCCTCTCCAAAATGTATCGCAACCGGCACTTACAGACCCCAAGTCCTGAAGTCAGTGAAGCTACTAGTACATTAACGCTTTCGTTTCGCAAAGGAAGAAACAGGTGTAGGCTCTGTGCCGGTGCACGCACTGAGCGTCTGCTTGCACATGTAGTGTACATGCATTGCGTCCTGGTTCGTCTTCACTCTACAATGACGTTGGTACACGTATTCATACTATTCATACCATATATATTATAGCGCAGTTGCTGTGAGACGCAGGCAATGTGGATTTGACATGTGGTATTCAACTCTGAAACCATTCGCTCGGAGACGGGACACCAAGAGCAGGCACCAGGTCTGTGATCTGTGTCGTTTTGATCACTTTCAAAATTGCTCCCATGAAGTACCAAGTTTCCACTTACGCTTGTCTTGCGTTTTTCGGTTCTGCACTTTTTGCCGCGGCCACCGACGCCTCGGAGATCCGCACATCGGCTTCGTGCGGCTCGTGCAACAACTGCTACTACGCAGGCAACAATCTATGCCACGACAACTGGACGGCTAGCGACTGCGCCAAGGTGCCCGAGTACCAGTGGTGCGGCGCAACTTCGGCACCGATGACGACTGCGACGCCGACTATTGCCCCGACGCCGGCTCCCACGCGTCCCACCGAGTGCGGCAAGTGCAACAACTGCTTTTATGCCAAAGGCGGCAACCTTTGCTGGGACAACTGGACGAAGGGCGACTGCTTGGCCAACCCCGCTAACGGCTTCGTTTGGTGCGGTCCCGTTCCGACGCCAGCCCCGACTCCTGCCCCAACGCCGGCCCCGACTCCGGCTCGCACGCGCCCCGCCGAGTGCGGTAAGTGCAACAACTGCTTCTACAAGGCTGGTGGCAACCAATGCTGGAGCAACTGGACGGAAAAGGCGTGCTTGGCGAACGCGTTCAACGGCTTTGTTTGGTGCGGCCCTATTCCGACGCCAGCCCCGACTCCTGCCCCAACGCCGGCCCCGACTCCGGCTCGCACGCGCCCCGCCGAGTGCGGCAAGTGCAACAACTGCTTTTATGCCAAAGGCGGCAACCTTTGCTGGGACAACTGGACGAAAGGCGACTGCTTGGGCAATCCTGCCAACGAGTACGTGTGGTGTGGTGCCGATTAATCCTTGAGATGAAGCCTTGATAACTGCAATAGCGTTTTAACGTGTTCTACGATTTTTCGTCTGCAATGCTCTTTAGACCGCGTGAATTCATTTACAACTGGCAAGGTCTTGGCGATACCCAACTACTCGAGTCCACCAGTCGCTGCTCCACAGCGCGGCTACCGAAAGACAATGCCTTTAGGTGTCGAAATGCCCATTCAGAGGCAAGGTTGAAAAAGCTAACGAGGATTCACGAATACGGGACAACACACAAACTGTGCGACGTACGAGGCTTGTAAATGGCGACTAAGAAACCTATGTAGAGCGCAAGCAAGCCAGGGCAACTCCATGTCGCGGGGTCGCGAACGACGATAATGTGCGCATATTTTGAAAGCCTATAGCGACGTAGGTGGCGACTACCCATTAATTGGTGGGACTATAACACACGTGTGCCTGTTAAATCGAAGAAAGAGAAGAGAAGAAGGAGAAAGTTCGATATGACGTGGCGATCTTTGCAAGCGGTACTATGCAAGCGGTGCTGTGTGCGCGGCAATTGTGCAACATGGCATTCAGCTCTTGTTTTCATGCTGGTTTTTGTATACCTGTGTGGTACCTTATAAACATGCCTATAAACTCGAATTTCTACCAATCAACGAGCGCAAAACCCTTGTAGCCAATGCGGGTGTTGCACTGCACGAACGCAACACCCGCACTGGTCAGTTTGGCCCGCTAGCGTTGTTTTTTGGCCAATTAGAATCGTTGGCGCCGAGTCCAGAGAGCTGGGCATTGAACTCGAGCGTACTCGCGGAGAACATCAACCCAGCAATGTGTGCTTGCGCAATGATGCTGT